ATGTGCGGCCTCACCAGAGCTGAGTGCAGGGGGAAGATACTTACATCTTAATCCATCAGTTTACAAATCTTTTATGTCCAGCTGTCAGTAGAGGATATTTCAAGGCCCCCAAACTTTTTCTACTTTTGCGTTTTAGCTCAGCTTGCAATTTTGTGAGTAATACAAGCTCTCTTTAAACTAGTGAGGTTTCTTGTCAATAGGAATCTGCAAAATGGAGTCTTTAGTGAAGTATCTATCTTAGCCTGTCTTCATTTTTGCCTGTAACTTCATTTGTGAGCTACAAAGAATTCATAGCAATATACTTCAAGAATAGTGAATATTTTCTTTGATTATATAAATAAATAAGGCAAGTATATGAAACAAGATCATTCCATCTGTTTGGAGAGTTCCCATAAAAGGGATGGAGGAGAAGACAAACATTTATTGGAAGGGAAGTTTCCCTCCCTGTAATGGCCACAATAAATATGTGTGTTGAAGAAAAATGGATGCAAAAAGAAGACATGCACACCTGATGTTGAAGAAAAGCTTGTTCATGCTTAATACATTGAAGAAATTGTTCAAGAGCTGCTCATCCATGTTAAAAAATATTACCTCTGTAATTCTGCCAAGGACAGTGAGACCTATTGTAGTTGACTGAATAAAGTACTGGTCGTTCAAGTTAAAGTGTCATAAGGGCAGCTATAATTTATACACACAATTTTTCTAACACATCCAAAACATTCTCTTAAGAATCAGGCCATATTCTTGGACAACATTAATTGGTACAGCTAATTAAAGCCAGTGCCTCTATGCCAGGTTTTCTGAGCTGTGTCTCTTGTCTACCATGCATTACTTTGCCTATTTGCACAACTTGTTCATTTTAAATTTTACCTGACATCTTGTGTGCTTGTATCTTCCAATTTTAACAATCATGGCAGAGATTTGTTTAGTTTAAAGTAAGAATGGATTAAAAAAAGTGCTAGTCTAAACTTATATGTAAAGCTGAAATGCATAAGGGGTCACGAAGGACAGGACAGAGCCTATAGTTTGTGCAGGAGTTACTGTGATTAGATAAGCTTTATGGCAATCATCATCAGGAATTGTATTGTGGGTCAGTCAGGAACCAACTTGGAAAGAAGATTGACCATATGGATGTGAACCTAATGGATTTGTATTTTAATACACAGGGAAAGCTGATGTTAAATAATAATATATATTAATAAAAAAGTGCGAATAGGTCTTATGACAACATCTCTTGTGCCAGCTCACCAGCTTGGAGGACTGCGGAGAAAGAAAAAATGAGAGAAACCAGTGAAGTAAATGCATTTAGCATTTAGGGGTGCAGGGGAGCAGGAAGGGAGATTATGGTTGAAAAGGCACTATGCAGTCTATTTTCAGAAGAGCCTGCATATCAGTCTCATACCCAGGTATTTACAAGAAGGACAGCTTTGTCCAGTAACAATGGTTTGCTGGGTCTCAGCTGTAAAGCATGCCAGGTAGGACTGTGGTTGCAACTTTGCTTTTGTTTGCTCTCTGCTGAAAGGCTGTCTCTGACAGCTGGATTCTAGTTAGAGCTGGTCCTCAAAGCCAATAGGTGAAGGCAGCAGAAATATTGTCTTTCTGCTTTTTACCTCCATGGACTGGGTACAGCAGTAATCCTATGTCATGAATTGACCACATTGTCACAGCAATGGTATTTAAAATGATCCCTTTTCCCAGCTGCCAAGATACTTCTGCCTCACTGAAGCCAATCCATATGCTTTTTGTGCTCATACTGTAAATCAAATCAACAAAAACATACATCTTGAAAAATAAAAATGTGTAAATTTGATTATTCACTGTCTCCCCAAAGTAGAGGGTTGAATGGGTTCAGACAAGAAAGCAGTAACATATGTGGGGAGGGAAAGAGTGATGAGAGAGGAGTGAAAGATCTCCTTATGACCAGTGGGAAGTACAGCCTGGATCCAGAATTAAGACTTCATGGTTTGGACTTGCTTGCAGAGGTTTGTATGTATGTGTCTCAGTGTCTGCAGTCAAGCAGATGTTGATTGCATCCTGGAAACTCAGAGAAAGTGGCTGAGCTGAGATGCTGAGCAAATAGAGAGGAACTAGAATGAAAAAAAAAAAAAATGTTGCTTAAGTGATTGTTTTCCACTGAAAGGGGCCTCATTCTGTTTTTATTCATTCACCTTTTAGGCAAACTCCTAAACAAGTTGCATATAAACCAACTTACCACCTGGTATTCCAGCTAGCAGAGGCAAGCTAAGAACCAGTCTTTGCTTCTGCAACTGAACTAAAACCTAACAAGTACCTACCACTTGCACCTCCCCCAGACCATGGAAAGCAGGGCATAGGTCTGTCACAGATGGAAGAGATGCAGGGAGCTAATAAAGTCAAGAGCAGTAATATCTTTCTCCTTCAGTTTCTGAAGGTTATAGGTGGAAAAGTTCAGCACTTTGCCTTGTGTGCTATTGTTGTCCCTCTTAACTTGTTTAGGTTTTTTCCCTTTTCTTTGAGACTGGTCTCCCAAATATTCTAGCAGAAAGAAAGGGGTGTTTCTACTCTCATAATTCCTTCCCTGTAATAGAAAAGTGTTAATACGCAAAAGATCAATTCCATTACAGAAACTGGGGTGACACAGTTTACTCCCCATACTTTTCCAATCAAATAAATGTGAGTGCATCAACTTATCTAGTCAGCCAAACACTGAAAGTTTCCACAACCTATATAACTGTTAGTAATGACAAAAAGGTTTCACATTATCTACCTCATCCACATTTCCTCAGAGATCAATATAGCTGAGCACGTCTTCTGCATTCTTCCATAAGGAGACAAATAATAAAACTTAGTTGCATCAAATGTATGTAGAAACCAGTTCTAAATGGAAAAGAAGGGGGAAAAAATCTAAAAGAATATCAATACAATGTTAGAATTACATTATTTGAAACAAGGATGAATGGGATAGCACAAAGTCAAAAGGATTTACTCAGCAACTTTCCAGAGGTGATAAATGATCTTTGTTAAAACATGGTCGGCACAATGCATTTTACTAACATGTAAAGTATTTCAGTTTGGTAATTTGAAAATGTCACAATGTTGAAATTCCTCAGTGGGCTTTGTGGTGAGGGGAGGGAATATTAACACCTCATAGAGGATTTACTTTGCTAACTTTAGGCAAGTTCTAGCCTCTTGAAAAGCCTCAGTTACTTAGACTTGTGGTTTTGTGCTGCCAATACTCTATAGGGTGGTTTGGTGGAGGTTTAGAGCTGGAACTTCTGCAACCTCTGCTTAGAAACCCTGTTTGAACTCATACTATATATTTTGTGGGGCAGGAATAGACCTCAAAAATACAGATAGATTTGAAGTCCTCAAGTGCCATTCATCTCTATGGAAATGTATTGCTTGTTCCCTGAGTCTCACTCAGTTCTGCTCTCTGCAAGCAGGAATACTAGCTCATCTCTACCATGCAAAGATACCATGAGCTCATTAATACTTGTGATTTTGTATGGCAACACTGAAGATACTGCTTTTAGTTTCTGTAGTCATTCACATTTGTGCCTATGAAATGGTGTTAGTTTCTCTCTTTTCCTGTATATGAAATATACTTGGGCCTACATTCACTGACTGGCTTTAAGGTCAATAATGCAAAACTTAACATGTATTATTAAGCATTTTCAGTCTTGCAATGTTTGGTTCCTAATAAAGAGTTCAAATATTGTGCTACATGGGAAATATCTCCAGGTAAAATGTGTCTTTGAAAGCTAGGTTCATCTACTGCATCCTCTGTAAGACACAGTTCAAATCTGTTTTGCCTCAGTGAGGAGCATGGCATATAATAACGTATGTAGTGTAGCAAAAAAGCATGGCCTACAGGCACCAAAATTATGCCATGATGCGTTTTGGTTTTCTCATGAGTAATTAATGAAGTTTGTCTGTCAAATAAAGCCTTGATTGTTCATCACAAATTAACAAACTACTGTGAAAGTTACAAGGAATCTACATAATTCTGTGCAAAGAAAGCAACTAGCCCCCACCACCATCACTTTTCTGTGAAAGTCCTAACCAGCTTGCATTTGTTTAAGGGAGGTCATTCTGATATTAGTGCTCAGGTTGGCATCATCTTGACCCTAGAACCTATGTGACCAAAACAACTTTCAAGTCCTGGGCAGCACCCAATTGGGCTGCAGGATCCAACTTCATATCCCACAGGCTACAGGCAAGCCACCATATCTGTTTCACATGTGAATGCTGGTTTTGTTCACAGACTCAAGTAAGCTCTTGTGATTTGAGTTTTGGAGTTGCATTGTGTCGAGAGACTTCTAAACGTACCCTGTAGATGGATTAGAATAACCCTTTTTAACCCAAAGCTATGTTTTGAAACCATTATTCATACTGACTTCTGTAGGCTTACTTGTTGTGTAAGATGTTACCCAGCATATCAGAACCTGGGCTACTAAAGTCATGAGTTCACTTTGTCTATTCATGCTGTTGCACATCTGTTCCTCCAAGTATCCAAGACAGCACTATCTTGAGCTGCAAGCTGTACCACTAGAAGAGTTGCATGTTCAGACCCCTGAGAAAGAGCATATCAACTGGAAAATACCCATTAATACATGAAATTATTTGTAAGACACAGTCCCCTGAAATTCACCTTAAGCTATTGTCCTTGGTGCTATTGTGATATCATTCTGCTGTCAGTCTTGCAATACACTCAAATCACATATCACTAAGTCTTTCTGAGCCGAGGTAACTCCTCTCTTCAGAACCTTCCAAAGTAATTACAAATCCAAGCTGTACTCTAAAGAGAGAAACCTTTCAGGGATTAAATATCATTCTAAGTAAGAAACAAGCCCAGAAGAAATACATTGAAGAGATTTCATTTTCTAACCAGTGGGTTTGGTGGGTGTTGAAGATCGTTACTCTGTTTCTTCTCTCTTTATAGACAGTAAGTTGTAAATATTGGCATTCCTTGTAGGTCCTTTCCAACCTTGTGTTTCCATGATTTCTATGACTCCTACATAACACACAATAAATAAATAAATAGAAGCTACACAGAATAAAATCAGTAAAACAATTTAAGGTTCCAGACCTTAAATCTCTACAGCCTCAAATCATCTCCAGGTCCTTGATAAACAAGGGTCCACATGGATACCTTTTCAAGCAAGCACCAAAGTAAGAATGAATAGCACCAAAACCATGCAGCAGTAGGTATCTAGTAGTCTTTCATTATAACGTCATTTATATGTCAAATTCATACTAGGACAAAAATGACTTGGAGTTTCCCAAGGTGTTTGAGGGAAGGTTCATGAGTTCTCATTGTCCATTCCCCAGGTCCAAACTCTCACTAGGTGTCCCCTAAACGTACGTAATACAGAAATGTAAAGGGAATCATACCAGTTTTTAGATGTCTTGAACTTGCAACTACCAGTAGCAGATATAAAATGAGTGTAGGAGTGCTCTATAGCCTCTGAAATAAATAAATTACTTGATGTAACAGGTGCAGGAATGTGGATCTTGCCAAAGTCTGTGTCATTCTTTAATCTACAGAACATGTGGCCTCTTCATATTTATGGATGCCCTATGGTTTATGATAATGTACTGAGGAGTTAGAAGAATGAAAAAATGACCATTAAGAGAAGAAAGGCATCTTTTAGCTATACTGTCTTTGTGTTACAGCATAAAAATAACCAATAACATGATTTGTATTTATCAAACGAAATATGTGGGCTTTTAAATATTTCCATAAATAAATAAATTTAAATTTAAATAAATATATTTTTTAAGATTTATTCCCTTTATCTTAGGAAGTGAGTTTCAGTAAAGCCAGAAATGAGGTGTTGGACCTGTTTCTGCACCTTCTGTGTTGATTTTTATAGGTTAAATGCATCTTACTCCAGAGATAATCCCATTCTAGACTGCAAACAACAGAGCAGAAACTGACTCCTTATCTTATTTGTACAACATCCAGCACTGTTGTAATAAAAATATTTAGTAATGGCAGCATGCATTCTCAGGAACACTCCTGCAGTACAGAACTTTTCAATAAGGAGCAAAACATTAAATGTGGAACTTCTAATTAGCTTTGGCTTGTCAAAGCAAAAACCCTTTAGGAAAAGTGTATATTCATTAAGTTCTCATCTAAAGGAAATGTTTGAAACATTTTATAACTGACAAGTAACGTGTTTTTGGAATGGCATTTCATTTCACAGTGTGTGAATTCATAGTTAAAAAGAACTGAAAAGGAAAAAAGTTTTAAAAAATGTACTATCCAGATGAAATAGATGTTGTGCCAGCTGACCAACATTTTTTGGACAGAGATTATGGATGTCAGTTCAAGAAACTGTTCTTCATTTTTTAACTTTTTCCTCACAGGTCAGGGAGGGGATAGTATTAAAAAATGCATAATGAATAGGAAAACTATTTCTTCCTAAACTATATGTGTGCAGCATGAAGAACTGTAGCAAAATGAAGCCTCAGCTGAAGTGAGCATACAGTGTATTGATTTTTGTGAAGAAATTTTTAGATTCTTTTATTTCTTTTAGGGAAATGCACTGTTAAGCTTAGTTAAAAGGGGGAGAGGCAAACCAAGTCCTGCGATGTCTTTCATGCTGCTTTCTGAAGATGGCTTTAGAAAACCAGAAAGTAGAAAGCCATTTTAAAGTGATTTGCGAGAAGGGTATATACCTCTACAGAGAAACCTTCGTTTGGGTCATTTGGATTTCTCTCTTTTCCCTGGAAGCAGCTAGTCAAAACTGTCTGTATGCAACAGAAAGATAAAAATTTCAATTAGGTTGAGTGCTGTCATAAGCAGACTACATGAGAAGGCTTGAGATAATATGCATTACATATTGATGTCTATCAGCCCTGAGAACATAGCCATGTTTTATTCCATGCCCCTTTTGTAGGTTTGGCAGCAGTGGCACCCAATAAAGGCCTAATCATATTAATTTATGCCCCTATCAATTATGCATTCAGATTCTCCCGATGGCTTGTCAGTTTTTATTCACTATTTTCTGAAAAATACGCCTATTACAGTTACTGAGCAAATAGGAGGACTGTCAGAAACCGAGATTTAAAGAATATTACTTAAAAGGGGTGGGTTTCTTTAATTTATAAATCTTGTATTATATGTCATGCATTTGTTAGTTTTAAAAGAGGTGACAGTGCAGGGACAGATGTCACATTAAGGACTTTCTGAAGACAAGGGGAGAAGTCTCCTTAAGAAAGCTCTGTGATTTATTCAATTTTTCTTGAAAGCAAAGTGTTCTGTGGTCTGCAGATGTAGTAAAAATGTATCAGCTTTGTTAGTTTAATATGAATTTGATTTTGTGTCTCTCAAATGATGTCTATCAATGAAGTACTTAAAAGTATTTCCAGTTTGTAAACTGATCTCTTTTCTGGTACAGGAAACTGTTCTATATCCAGAAATACATTAGGATCTTGAACTGCATTCTTGAGTCAGTACCTACATTTAGAGTAGTCATAAGCAGTAAATATGACAGATAAATAGTTGTAGTGTCTGAAGTACAGCTACTGCCCCATTCAGTAACATCTACCAAGGAGTAGCCTATACTGGCAACTTCAAAATTACCTTGATTTTGACATGAGGCAAGTCCAGCCTGCCCCATTCATACATACTGCACTATTTGAATGGGTCCAGGACTAAAACTGCTCTTTGGAGGCAAGTCTCCCAGATCTCTCCACAGACAGCATTTAGATTTGTATCACTGAGCAGTCTCAGAGATCACAGTCAGGGCTTCTTGCTGTGAAAATAACCTGAGCTGGGCTGGAGACTGGGCAGATTCCTGGTCCTTTCCTGCCAAACCAGTGAAAAGGACCAAAGTTTATCTCCAGCAGCTGGAGGTCCTGTCTAGATCACAACCCACTCAAGGTCAGGCCACTCGACTTGTGTTCTCGGGTTTACTGAAATACCAAAAGAATAACATCTAACGAAAAAGTAGATCTTGGCACTGACTGTCTCACTTCTTAGTATTTCAAACTTTACTGTTTTACCCATTCCCTGCCACTGACCACCGCTGAAGGTATGTCTCTCTTCTTCCATCCTCCCTCACTTTAACAACATCCACTTCAGCTTCTTCTCTTCATCCTCACTCAGCTCGAGCTTCTCCCTCCTACCTGTATAGCACTTAACCCAATTTCACATACTTTTATACCATTCTCTATGCTATCAGGCTTCCCATCACCATTCTTTTAAGAGTACAGTTTTTAACTAAGGTCCCAAGTATGGAAAAATAGCTTAGAGAAAACAAAAAAGGAAGAAAATCTCAGAAGTTCTAATGCTGTTGTATTTTCCTATCTGATATGCTGTGGGTTGGAGTTGCCTCTCTCTGGGTTAGCCCAGAAATGCATCCCTTCTGTTCTGAGCAGTATTTAAGGACACTGGTGACAGGCCCACAGTCCCTAGGCAGAGGTCTGGGCCCCCTCACTTCAGTCTGTGCTGCAAGCCTTGCTCCTGCCTCCTGATAGCATCAGTTCAATCCAGTTAACATACCACAGAATCTCTATCCAGGGACTTTTCTGGGGCCCGTCTCTTTTTGCAGAGTTTCCAACCCTTCTGTCACTGAGCTTGGCCTTCTCCCCTGCTGGAAAGTTCACCAGGATAAGAGCCATCCTTTTTGCATGATGAAGTCCTGGTGAGCCCTGCAGAGCACTTTTTGCTGTTTCAGTGAAGGTATCTCCCCTTCCTAACAGGAGAGGAAGATTCACATGGAGGGGATCTCTTTTGGTACTACAGTTTTCATACTATATAGGCAACAAAAACAAACTGTCAGGTCTCACCCTTGCAAAATCCTCTCTAGCTTCAATACACATGGAGAACTGAGGCCTATGTTTTTTGTTTTCTTCACCCACACCTGAGTGTGTGTTGCTTTTCTGCCTAACCACTTAAATAATTAATGAAGACTGAACTTTTGCCTATTAAACAAACTTGTTTTTCCTTCCCTATAAATTCATCCACCCTTGCAAAGTACTTCAGCTTTGCAATGGGCTGTACCTTCCCTTACTTCTGGCTCTTTGAAGATTTTGCTCTTTGTTCAGCGAAGTTCTCAGTTCCAGGAACATGTACCACATTACCTAAATCATCCCAGTGTTTATTTTACCCTGACGTTGTTAATGAGGCGTAGCTATGTTATAGCATTTAAAATCTTTGTAGTATCTTAAACATATTGTATCTTAAAATATCCCCTTCAGGTATAGAAGTATTATTCAAATCACATAAATGGAGAAGTAAAAACAAATGTTTCGGGATTTGCCTAAGGCCATGCAATAAGTCAATGTCAGAGCCAAGAGTCAAACCCACCTATTTGTGGTGAGTCATCCCACGCTGGCATGATTTTTTGTATTACTACTATGGAAAACAGCCTATTCATTGAGTGCAGTACTCGTCTCAGTCATTTCATGAACTGACTTTAGCAGTTGCCTTCCCTTTAATAACAACTTTCCCAGAAATGCTTGTGCTAACCTAACTCCATGTATTTCCTACGTATCTACACAGGGAGTAAGAAGCAGCATATGGAACACAGCTTGAATTGTTGTGTTGTGTTTTACTTTTTTATTTCTCTTGGAATTTGTTTTTGTGTGTGTGTGTTTTTCCTCAAAAAGGCTGGAAATTAAAAAGAAATAGAGCGGACTCTGTTTCTAATGTGCTGGGAAGATTTCCTATGCCTGCCCTTGAAATTTAAAAGTATCTGGACAGCCGTTTACCTTACGGAGTTGAATAGTAGTTCCAGCTCCATTATTTTCCTTTATTTTGTAAGGGTTTACCAAGGCTCTTACGGAAGGAGGTGTGTTTGTGTACATGCATGCAAAGGGGAGAGAAACATAGAGGCAGCAAATATGTTTGAGAGCATTTTTGCTGAGAGTAGGTAATCCAAAAAGTGATGAAATAATAAAGTGACAAGACCTGGCCTGAACATCTAGAACTTTGATGGTGTTTGGCAGGGAAAATTAGACCAATTAAAGGGTGCCTCTGGGAAGCTTTACCTTACATGACCAGAACTTCTACACAACATCTTGGTGCACTTGGCACTTTTACAGGGATAACATTCATGTGAATATGAATGCTTTTGCCAGTATGTTAGTCATCTGTGGGATTTTACCCTGCACATGGTATGGGTGCATTTCTGCATTGCGTTTTGTTTTATCCTAGCAATTTTCTCTTCATCATTACACTAGCCATTTTCACATTAGTGTATATGGATCTTAAGTGTTTCCCTTCACCAGCAGCCTGATGATTATACAGTAACACTTGCAAAAAAAAACAAAAGTGGTACATCTTTTAAACAGAGTCAAAGGCACGGAAGAGCACTTTTGGATTGCACTGAGATATGTTTTCTCTCTTCCTAGAAAAACAGTATGAATCCAGATAGTATCATAAAAGGACCTAGAAAGAAGAGAAATATTGTCAGATAGTACATGAATGAGTCTGCCTGGAAAACAAAGCTGATAATGCTGTACTTAGGAGGGAAAGACAAAACACAATTTTTGTATGGGACAAGAGACTTCATCAAGTGATAAGACAAAGGGAAATGGCCTCAAGTTGCACCGGGGGAGGTTGAGGTTGGATATTAGGAGAAATTTCTTTACTGAAAGGGTTGTGCGGCATTGGAATAGGCTATCTCTGTGTATGGTTTAGAGAGAGTGGGAACTGATGTTGGTGTTTGGTTTGTTTTTGTTTTGTTTTGTTTTGTTTCTTTCATGTCTCACCACCTAAACAGTTCAGGTGCAAGACACCGGTAAGATCAGAGATACTGATATATGGTACTGCAGTAAATAACATTTTGCCCTATTTTAGTCTCATACCTTAAGAAGAAGAGTTTTTGGATGGGTTTGGCAACTATGAACTTCAGGTTGGAAACACATTTCATCCTTGTGTCTGGCTGATGTGCACTTCTGTGCATGCTGCAGTCAGATGTTTTAACAAACGACTCTTGTTTTTAGGATATCATGTGAGCATTTGATAGACAGATTCATAAAAATATTTTCAATTGAATACTTTCTTATTACAAAACAGTATTCTGTACAAATGGAGATTCTGATGAACAGATCTATTTCTACTATATTTTCCATCCTTTTGAAAAATAATTCTAAAAAAGGAAATGTGAGTTCCTATACACAGTTTTTGTCTGACAGGAAAGAATACACACAGGTACTGACATGTTCTGTTATTGTCTTAATTGTTAATGTTGTACATTGTTTTAGAGGCCATCATTCCAAACCTGAATTATTAGAAAAGAATGCTTGCAGTAGCAATTCATGGAGAGAAAAACTGAAAGAATTGATGAGGAGGGTGCATAGAGTTTTATCTCAAGAGAATCTGAAAATCTAAAAACTTTCAAAACCATATTTAATTAAAGAATATTTTAGAAGAATCTACAAGTGTCTGAAACTTTGATTTCTCAAAGGTTTAAAAAGTACAGTTTTGTGTCAAGGTGACAAAATTATGTTGAATTAGAGAACCTCATAGTTTATAGTTCCTAAAACTCAATCCAAAATGTACTTTAACAGTGAGATTGTTTCAAATATGATTTTTTTTAAATGAAGAACCTGTATGGATTGTATCACCTTAAGATAGGAAGTAGATGGCTAGAATGAAGTATATTAAAGATGGTGAATTTACTATTCCTCATCTTTACACATTGACCTTGTTTCTGTGTTCAGAAACCATACATAGAGTTGTCGAGTTGGTCAATAAACTAATCCAGCCATCAATAAAGCACACCTTCTTGTTTATTAATATGTGATTAAAAATGTATATGATAAAAAGATATTGACTGAGCAGAGTTTGGGTGACAAGAACAATTATAGCTTCAAGCCTAATCACTACATGAGCTGTTTAACCCAGTGAAAGTCAATAGCCCATTTCTGAACAATTACACTTTTTGTTTTAAATAAAGTGTTTGGATTTTCCTAGTGCTCTCATTTTCTCTTCATGGTTTAGGTATGTACACAGAAGGAGAAAACAAAAACACACACAATAAATTGCCTGGGATAATACAGCTTTATGGTCCTGGTATGATAAAGTTGTAAATATGTAGCAAATAGGATTTGTTTCAATTATAAATTTCTACACACAGATATATTAACATATGTATATCTCTTTTTTCAATTGCATTACTAGTTGCACAGGTCTTAGTCATATTTCTACTATGTCTAATTTATTAGACATATTTCTACAATTTCTTAGTCATATTTCTACAATGTCTAATTTATTTATTTACTTTATATAATTTATATATATATACAATATTCATATAATTTAGTTATATATTTTTCTCATTATTTTAAGCTAACGTCACCTTTTTACTGCATTCAGTCTAAGTGCTCCATCTTCATTTCATTAAAGTAGTTTTCATAAATCTAACATGAAATTTCAAATGGAAGCCATTTAATTCTTCCTTGATCTATTCTTAACTTTTGCAAATTTTTCAGACAGCAAAATGTGCTTTCACTCCAAAGCAACAATATAGCTTATATCCTGGTAACAACACAGAGAAGTTCGAACTGGGTGCATTTTAAACACCAGTAGGTTCCTATACAGTGGCTATTTTGGAGCAACTGGGACTGGTGAGTGGTCAGACATTCCCAAACAAGAGCACAGGGTCACTGGCTTGTCCCCACATTGTTAAAAATCAGCTGTGGGCCCTAAGGAAGCTGCATTAAGTATCTGGGCTATCCATAAACAGAAGATTTAGCCTTTTTAGCACTGGTTTATCTTGTCAACATTCAAGATCCAATGAAATTAATAGTACTCTCAGAGGCATTTGCACGTTCTAAGTCTTGAAGTGTAAGATCAGAAAGTTCCTTATCTATTCCATAAGTATCATGTTCGTTCAACAGTAATAGTGAGTAGCATCTCCACAGATATTTTTCCTACCTACTGATCATGTCATCTTCTCAATTCCTTTGCTGAATAAAATGACAAAGAGTTCAGAAACATAATGTTTTCCATTAATGCTAATACAATTCTAACATTTATTATTCTAAAATGCATTTGGTGTAGGTGAATGTAAAATTCACCTTGTCAATTGTTGGTATTTGAAGTTATTGTTTAATATGGAAGAACAAATGAGCAGAAGGAGAAACCTGCCATTGTGCTTACACAGCCTTAAAAGTCTAGGCTTCTTTGAAATTGATGCTGACACTATAAACATGCTTTTCTGAGGAACTTCATATTAATATGACGTATTAATGTCCTGATCCAACATTAAGTAAAAGTCAATAAGCTTTTCCCCTGACTGAAGCAAGAGGCACCATTTGAATCTTAGAAATCAGAGCAAGTCTACCAGGAGATAATTTCCACTTCCTTATGGTGTAGTTCCAGCATTTTTCCTGGTTGTCTGATTCTGGCCAGTACCATCCAAACCATGGTACACTAGCGAAGGTGGACCATTTTTATGGTCCAGCATGGTATCTCCTATTCAACAAGAAGAGATTTCTTTTTGGCAGGGGGGGAAAGACAGAGTGATTTGTGAAGGAAAATGGTCAGCCTTGATTCATTTTGGATGTTGGTGTCCAAAGCAAAGAGAATGCTTATCCAGCAAATAAATTGTTTCCATAAAAATAAATGAATGAAATTAATAAACAAACTCTTTAAATAGATGGCACAGTCAGTACCTCAGATGTACAGGTGAGGAATCAACAGTTCTTAGTAAAGAGATTGATCCAAATGACAAGCCAGGTCATCTAAGATACAAGACTTGTTCCAGGTTCTCATTAGGAGAAGACAACTCTGTAGCTAAGGAGTGGAGCTCCGGGAAGCCAGCCCTGGCAGCCTAACCACCTGCAGAGCTTATGGGATGTAACATCTCCACACAAGGTGCCAAGCACAGTATGAAAGGTCTGAATCTCTTTTTGTCTATGGCACAGACATGTCTGAGTGATTGCCAGTAGGTTCTAATCTGAAGAAAAAGCAGGATTTGATATCTTCCTGTCTCAAGATAAATAATAGTTTCTAAATAAATGTTGGGGAAGATATAAATATGCAGGCAATAAGTTATTCCTGAAGAAAGAGAGGTTCCTTAGCACTTTCAGATTATAGGTGTATCTCTCCCACCAAAAAACACTATTACTAAACAGTAAAAAAAAAAAAAAAAAAAAAAAAAAGTCCTTGGTGTAAATTTATTGAGCTAAAAATCTCTTTTTCTGTGTTTAAATTTACTTGTCTGCTTAACTTCAAACTGACTCTGACTGCAGCATTGCTAATAGTATGCTTTGTTCCAGTCCATTACTTGATTCACTCATATGTTTAAAAATATTAGTACATTTAAGAATGTTGGTACATTTATGGCTCTAGTTAAACACATATACTATAGGTCTTTACTCTTCCACTAAATAAAACAAGACTTTAATTCATTTTAGATTTTATTTTTTTAAATACTCTCCCTCAGCACAACTCTAGCATGAGGTTTACAGTTCTCAGTATTTAGGGAAAGTTTACCTGCATTTTCATGAAACGAATAGCAAAGGTATGTTAATTCATTAGTAAGGCATATTGAAATAAGTGTGTAGTCACTGAGAAAAAACATACTTTTCAGGTTCTCATAACATAATGGTAAATCATTAACATAGGGCAGTGTTGACGATTTGTGTGGTGGCTGGGAAGTAACTATTTTTATTCATCTCAGCACCATTATTTATGAGACTGTTTCATCTTCAGCCTCATCCATGTATATGTACGATCCTCATCTTCATATGTAGTTCTACATATTTTCCCTTCTTCATCATCACCTCATTTTGTCCAAGCAGAAGATGGAGGCTTACTGAGCTTTCTGCTTGCTGTTGTCCTGGCCCATATATGCTGTATAAGATAGGACATTGATATGTCTATCACACTGAAAGCGTGCAGTGACTGCTTTTACAGTAGTTTCCATTTGACAGCAAGCATTCAAGTATTTGCAGTTTTCAAAATTTCAAGAATTTCCATTTTTTTGTTGTCAGAACATTCTGTCATGGATACTTAGTTTAAATGCAATTCTAATACTTGGTGGGAGAGCTAAACTTAGTAAGTCACACATTTTAGCTGCCAGATCTAAAGCACGTTCCACTTCTCTGCTGAAGTGTCACAACTAAACCTGTATATGCTTCTCATTCACATAAATGTGGACTAACTGCAACCAATAAATAAATAAATAAATATGGAAAATCCTCACCCCATGAAAGTAGTTTAAACACTGTAGCTCTTCATGACAGTTTGAACTCAGTGAGAGACAGGCACTCTGCCTTTAAGGAGGTTGCCCCTTGCTTGTGAAAGTTAGACTGGGTGCCTAATTACCATTTCTGCCTTTGCAAGCCTTCATGAGTGAACTACTGAGGCCATACAGCAAGTCCAGACTATCTTAATCATCTTAAATTTACTTCCTCAGACAGCTCTGCCTTTCACCTTCTCTCTGGTGGTGATACGGGTGAGCGAGTGGGGAGTTTTGTAACGCCGAGTGTGACAAAGATGGACCAGCCACTGCTGGTGGGAAGAGGCATCCTCATAGCCAGAAAATTAGAGTCATCTTTTATTTCACTCCTCTCTCTCTAAATTTATGCTGGGAGGGTCCAAGGCAATTATATCATCAGTATATTTATGAATAAAACCTTTGCCTTTGCACATGTACCTATGAAATATTGCAATGCTATTGCAATGAGCGTTAACCTTATACTCAAATGATTTACCATGACCCCTACTGTTGTTTTGGCGCCTTCCAAGATACATGGAGATACAGTCAAATTACTGTACATCAAAGTGGGTACGTAGTTTTACATAGTGATCTTTCCATTCATGATTGAGATATAGTCACCTCAAGGGGTGGGATGGTACAGGATTATCATCACAAGCAATAGTAAAGCTTTATTGACAAGGATATCAGATCTTTGACTTGGTCAGATACACTGACAAGAATAGATTTTTTTTTTTCTTTCTCTTTTCTCTCTCTCTCTTTTTTTTTGTTTTGTTTTGTTTTTATTATTATTGGCCATTGTGAGGGGAATTTAGCTCTGCAAAGAGACTGATAATGTAGGGTATACAAACACAGAAGTTAATATACTTTATCAATATGACTCATACTATGCCTGGAAGTTGTTTTTTGTTAAGTTGTTGTGTTTTTATTAATGTTGTTCAATGGAGGTGCAGATGTCACACTATGAGCTTCTGTCTGTGATACACAAACACTTGCTGTTATCTGGGTCAAAATCAGTTCCTCAGCAGCAGATGGCCATCCTTGCATTGCATAACTGAGACCGCACTAGTTGTTCTGTCTTGCATATTGGTATAAAAATGATGGACTTTGAAGCTTATATTGCTTCGTTACTAAATACAAGTGCAACATCTACTAACAATGATAATATATATATATATATATATATATATAGGCTCTGTTCCATAGCTGGTCAGTCTTGTTTTGCTTGGTCTTGAAATGAGCTGTCACTTTTATGCACTATGTACTTCACATATTTGATGTCTCTAGAAAGCATTAAGCAGTTTACTCTATAGCATTTCAATCAAGTCAGTGGTTTGCTAGAGAAGCAGAGAGTTAGGTTGTGGTGGTAAAAGTGATGTTGAAGAAGTCCTTACTCAGAGGAAATAGCACTTTATTTGTTACGAGTTACTACTCAAAATAATGGTGGCTGCTGATTGCATCAGGACTCCTGAAGCTATCTTTATACTCTGCTGTCATACAGTCTCTGCATTACTAAGAACTGGATCCGTTTTCTTGTTTTACATTTGCATGTATTTATCCCATTTGTTCAAGTTATTACAGGTACAATTTTACAATGCCATCATGATTATTTCTGGGCATAAAAACTGATGCTGAACTGCAGCTTTATTCTAAATGAGGATCTGCTGTGAAGCAAAGTAGGAGTAGCAAATTATTGTCTCACTTACTGTCTTGGATCAGTGGATGAATTTTAATCCATGGCTAAGCAGACAGTTAATTTGGCTGTTTCGGTAACTGCAGCGACTGCTTGACTCTAGGCCAAGGATCCTCAGACTGAGGTCAGGACCACATGCCTGGTGATTGCACTTCCTAGCTTTATGACTGCAAGGAGAGTGATTCTGGAACCTCACCGTGCTGTAATACAGAAAACACAATTCTGAAAGTTTGAGTCATTTGGACTGTGCAAATCCAGCCCTCTGTAGAGCAAACTACATTGTTAATGGCTCATCCACTCACTTGAAATCATGTGAATATTTTAGTCCCGTTCCCAGTGGATAACTGCCAGTGTTACCAAATAAATAAGCAATTAAATATGTGCTAATTGAGCAAAACAAGGCAGAGAGTAGTTGAACTTTCCAGTTCAATCACTCTTTTACTATTATGCTTAACTTTGGTAAGACAAAAAAGTTACTTGTGTTGAACCTGATCAGCAGATGAGCTGAAATAATAAAATTATCAATCTGCTACCTTTCTGAAGCAGATGACTCCCCAAAAAGTAAAATAAAAATAAATAAATAAATAACATTTATTAAGATAAGTGAGATATCACTAATAACCCTTAAATTTACCAGGGGTCTGAATGAAGTGAAAAAAAAAAAAAAAAAAAAACAAGAAAATAAAATCTATAAGGAATCAAAAATCAATGAACAGATATAAAAACCTATACTTCAAAGGAAATGAAGAAGAACAGCTATATATTAGGTAGGGAATAAGACTTGCATAGTGAAATAATATTTTATACATACAAACAAACAAACTAAAAGAGCATTACAGACTTGGTAAACATTTAAAAAACGTAGTTTAAAGTAGTAGAAAAAGACTGAATGAACACTGATCACAATGCTTAGTACCAATCCCTCGCATGGATGTTTCACCATTTAGCCTTTAGTTACGCTGTTATGTACGAGCAGATGATCAAGAATTTTCCAGGAAACACAGTTTTCCTCAAAATTTAGACTATGTCATAGCAAAAATGTTAGTTCAGAAGGAGATTGTGTGGTAACTAAAAGGCAAGTTGCTAGGACATATATCTGAAATGGGAGTGTCCCAGATAAAAGGGCTGTCACTGGTAGGGACATGGGTTAGCACCTTATTTACATGTTCTCAGACATCCTAGACTTCTTCTTCTTCTTTTTTTTTTTTTTCTCCCTCTCCATCTATCTTTTCATAAATAACTTTAAAAAAAAAAAAATGTTTCTTCCATTCATGTTAAATGGTAAAAGAATGCAATTCAACAGGGCAGTAGGACTTTTCTGCTTGATTTTTTCACAGGCAACCCTTTGTCCTTCAAGGTAGTACGTGAGCAAGGCTTTCTTCAGCAGTTAGTTCCTACTGTTAAGTTTACCTGTGTGGGACTTTGTAGGGGCACACAACTTAAATCCCAGTCTGAACCCAACACTTATTTTTCTGCTGTTCCTCTCCCCACCATAGGATAGTACAGTGTGTTTAGCAAACATCTTTTACAACCTGAAATGGAAGCCATGAGATAATTGTATCCTTCTAATAAATCTGTGCTCCAAACAAATTAGATTAAAGTCAGGAGTGCCCACTAATTTAGAGTACCCAATTAGAGATGCCAATTGCTAGTTTTTTCAGCCCATTTGGCATTCTGCATCCCTTGGCACAGTTAATGTACAATCCCATGGACTTTGTCTAAAACAGTGAGGGATTTGCTTGAGCAAATCAGACCCCAGAATTTGATGATGGGCCCTCATAATATGAAAATCTCACCTTATCATTACATTTTGAGGTGACTTTCCCCACATTACGGAAGCTTTGAGGTGAAATGGGAATGGATACAAACTCATTTAGCCAAATTCAGCTATCACATTGCCATGAAGGCCTTGCTTTCTCTTCTTGTAACAGTCTGCCTTCTCTGTGAACAGCACCCAATTTTGTGATGAACTAGACAGACATCTAGTGAATAAAAACTACAAAGTTGTGACTCGCCCCCAGAGGAAGTGTACCTTACAGGGCTCCATTTGTGTGTTAGGAAATTGGTGGAATAAACTCTTGTGTGCTCTTGTGCAGAGAAAGTGAATAAAGGTGCTCTGAAACCCTCAGGTTAGTCACTGCCTTAACACCTGAGTGCCTCACATTACAGCTAGTGAGGAACATGTAACGTGTTCCACTAGCTTGGTTGTCACTCACAGACACACACAAAAATCATTTAAAAATATTTTGAATAGGCTCAGAAATACTTCTCTTGAAGGTCATTTAATTCTTTCCAGCATCAGAAAACAGCTTCTATTCAAAATAACAAGCATTAATGCTGAACTGAGGAGTTGAAATGCATCAGCTAATAACACCGAAATAAAACATTTTGACTTTCACGATTTTACTATGTTTCAAATAAAATTCAGCCCAGCTATTCTGGACATCCTGTAATTACGTATCCTTGCTCTTGGCTGACAACATTAGATGGTTTTGTTATCCTTGCCCTGCCAGTCCCTTTTCTCCCCTCCAGGCTCCTCAACCGAACGCTTTCTCTCTGCTTTTTCCACGCAACCTCTGTGTCTCCTTACCTAATCAGTCCCAGGCTCCTGCCTCCAAACACCAGTCCCGCTTTTTCTCTCTGGGCTGCTTGGCTGCCTCTGTTGCCTGCTCTGTCACAGGGTGGATTTTTCTCCCTGTCGTATTCATGCAGAGACCTTTCTTGTTGATGCAACCTTCAAATCGTTTGGAGCTTAGAGGAGATAGGATTCCTACCTCTCAGATCCTGTGCCAAAGCTCGGGCTCACAGGGAAAATTTGGAGGTGGGGATTAGTGTGGAAATCTAGCTTTACCACAGTACCCTTAAGCTTCTGTCCTCAGTTAGGACCAATCTTTAACAATTTATACTATCAGAAAAAATATATAAAAGAAACCGTGACTGAGAGTGTGCTCATTAAAAAATATAAATAAAAATATATAAATATAGTCTATATATTTGCAAGTTAGCCATATTTGGATAATTTTCTGAGAGAGGGAAAGGAGCTTTTTAAATGAAAAAGGTCACATTTTGAGTCTGTGCTTCAAAGCCTGAGGGCAGTAGAGCATTTCAAAGGAAAAAGTTTCCATTTTTTTAGTATGAGCAAAACTGTTTATTTTTCCATAACCTTGTTCTTGGAAATGGACAAATTGTTTTGGCAGGTATTTTCAAAATAATCATCCCGGTACAGACAGTCAGCATATCAGTTTTCAGTCTAAGTGATGATGTTTTTTCTAAAGCTACATGCAACAGAAAATATGGTCGGTGCTGGGAAACGTTAGCCAAGCACAACACGAGGAATGGCAGTGCGTCCACCTCCGACTATTGTCACAGATTATGTCCTCTGAGGCTTTCTGACTTTTTTTTCAAACAGTAATTGCCTCGTGGAAAGGCAATAGGGTCAGTGGCTATTACTTTCCTATTTTACAGGCAGAGAAACTAAAACAGGAGGAAAGGAGGAAAAAAAAAAGCAGGGGTAGGATCCAAAACTCCTGGCCTGATTCTGCATCCCCCATTTTGGCACCATTGCTGCTGCCTCTGAGGCGTGCTGCCGGTGCGGTGTGCCTCTGCTCTGCAGGGTTACTGGGAGCCTTCAGGTGACACAGATGCATGCATCGGAGAGAACATCCCTTCGGTGTTGTCTAACACTCCGAGACTGTGACTGGAGGTCTGGGGGGGCTTTAGGAGAGGGCAGAGCAGGCATGAGGGAGACCAGCACGTAACAGATTCATTCAGCTAAGAACAAGCCCCCCTCCCACACTCAGCCCTGCAGATTGCAGGAATGTGCCTGTATGGTGTAAAATGAAAGAGTTCATGTACCGAGCTGATTTCTGAGGGGCCTGATGCAGTTTGGCAGCAAGGCCCCGTGGCAGAGGAGGCTGGAGATGTCGGGCTGTAGTAGGGCACTGCCTGAGGCCAAGCAGCTCACCCACATGGCGAGCTGTGTCCCGGGCACTGCCTTTCTGGGTGCTCCACGTGCTCTGCCCAGGCCAAGCACCCACAAAGGCATGAGGTAGAGGAGCTGCATGAAAGCTTAGGCCACTGTCTGACTTGCTACAGAGGGTAAGAAATGCAGTTACGTGTTAACAGCCCATGCAGACCAAGAGCCTCTGCTAAAAAACACCTCAAGAGCAGAAACCAACTCCTTAGCTTAACCTGCAGTCCTCTTCAGATAGAGAAGGGTGTAAAAAAAAAAAAAAAAAAAAAAAAAAAGGAACTGCCAAATCAAACTGCTGACTCCTTTTTTCTTATCAAAACACCACAGCATACATCTTAACAGCCCGAAGTAAATCAAACGCAGGACCAGCTGGAACTGGGCAGCTCTTGACCCTCCCTTGATATCAGGTGTGTGCCGCACTTCTCTGGCAGATTAGTTTATGATCTCAAGTAACTGAGAGCCCCTAAAACTTTCAGCCTGGCTGCTGGGACGAGGCTGAAGGTTTTCTTTGGAAAACATCACCGCTAGAAAAAGTTGGAGGCCTTCCCGCTTGACAGAGATATTCCCCTGCTGATGGCAGTGACTTTGTGTCCTGTATATCTTTTATTTTTAAACTCAGCCCACGATATAAATACGGGGTGAAAATCAAAGGCACAGCCACAGCCTGGATGTGTGCAGCTGAGTGACTGTCAGTCCCCTTTGGCATTTGGAGCTTCTTGGGGAGGGGGGGGGCTTGGAAGCATTTGTAGAAATGCAGCCCTAAGGAGACCTTTCAGCTAGAAAAAGTAAAGGAAGGTCCAGGGAAGCAGTGTTCAGGGAAGGGAGAGCAGATCGCCTGCCATCAGCAGCGGCTCGGCGGAGAGCGTGCCCGTGTGTGCGATCAATATAATCTATTGCGAAAGAAAGCCTCGGTGTTTCTGCGGGGGGGGAAAGAGATTTAGAAAGAAGCTCTTTAATTATTACCTGCAGAGGAGTTAGACTTTAACTCCGCGGTAACATACTCCAATCTCTCTGCTTGGGGGTTGGCGTGTGAGGCAAGCATCTAACCTGCCTGAAACCTGGGCTGGAATGCAAGAAGAAAAATAAGGGGGAAAAAATAAAAAAGGACAAATATAAAGGACTAGTGAGGCAAGAGTGCAGAGGATAGCCACCCGCATAGGGCTGTTTTGACCTCCTTGCACAGCATTCCCCTACCCCCCCCCCCCCCCCCCGAGGCCCCCAAATGCCCCGCACCTTGCTGAGCATCCCCGGCCTCTCCGCGCAGCCCCCGCGGGGGGCGGCGGCCCCGGGCTGGTCGAGCACTCTCCTTCGAGAGAGCACCCCCCCAAAAAATTAGTATGAAAAATAGAAAGGGAGAGCCCTAGGGCAGGCGGGCTTCCAAGCACTCCGATCTCGAAATCGAGCAAGGCTCTTGGTGCACATGTAACATTTTTTTCAAGGAGTTCGCTTCTCTGGCAGGTCAATGTGTTAATTAAAAGTTGGTCCGGATCGGTCACTTAGAGCCCCAGATGTGCGATTAACACATAAAGGGACACCCCTCCCCCCCTTTATTTTTATTTTTTGACGATATCAGAATTTAAAAACTCAGTAGAAACCCCATTTGCTCCCTACTATTAACCAGCGGCCGCACAGAAAAATCATTAGAGCCGTAATTAAATGCAGGTCTGGTTTTGAAGAGCGCCCGGCAAAATAGCCCCAAAATATTATGTAGTAATTTGATTTTTTTCTTCCTTTGGCACTACAGGTGCTGGCTGTGTTTTCCCCTCATTTCCCACCCCATGTATATTAAACAGCGGGAGAACATCGCTCCATTGTTGGGCATGACCCGAGATTTCGCCGGCGTGTTTTGCTCCTCGGTGTAAAATTGCAAAGTGGGTCTCCGCGTAAAACTCGCTAGATTGCTTTTGATAATTACCTCGTGGTCTAAACTTTTTCACATCCCGGTTCTTAAAGAAAAAAAAAAAAAAAAGGAAAGCCGAGCTCTCAGCGTGCTGCCATTCCTGTATGGCTCAGGCCGGGCTCTCGGCCGCTCTTAGGGGAACTTCAGCAGCGGGTGCGGTGTTTGTGGAGGCGCCCTGCCCGCATGCAGCCGCGGAACCCCCCCGGACCCTCCCCAACTCCCCCGATCCCCCCCCGGCTCCCTGTAACGCGTCCCGTTGGGCGCCGCGGAGCTGGTGCTTGGCAGCCGGGAGGGGAATCTGTCAGATCTGAGCGCAGGACAAAATAACTCCCGGCGTTATTTACGGCAGGGGGGGGGAAATAAATAAATAAAAGATGCGGGAGGCCGCCCTCCTCTCGTCCCCGAGGTTTTATTCTTTCCCTCCGCAACATTGTCCCCGCGCCCGGTTTAAGCCCCATCGCGGCTTTGCTCGGCCTCGCCAGGCAGCGGCGGCGGGGGGGTGCGGGGCGGTGCGGGGTGCGGGGTGATGCGGGGTGATGCAGGATGGTGCGGAGCCCACGCACAGCGGGGACGCCCCGGGTGCGCCGCTCTCCGCCTGCCCGCTTCTGGCTGTTTCTCGCAGCGCGTTGTTTTTATTTTTTATTTTTATTTTTTTCCCCTTTTTTTTCCCCTGCCCGGTAGGCTGCGGCAGGTGAATGATGAGCCCCCCGGCTCCCGGTTTATGAGCCGTGAGATTGGAACCGCGCGGGGACAGCCTCGGCGAGGCGACGCGAGGGGCGCCGGGGGGGGATGAGGGGGGGCGCGCCCCCACGCGTGTCCCCGGCCGCCTGCCCCACGCCGCGCGGGTGCCCCCCGCCGCCTGCTGCGCGCCCCCGCCGCGGTCCGGGCTGCGCGCCCCCCAGTCCCCCCAGCACATCCCACCCACCCGTGGGGCGTCCCGCGTGGGAGCCGTGCCGCAGCGAGGGGGCCGAGGCCCGTCCTCGAAGGGCTGGAGCAGAGTCTGCCCTCGGAGCCCGGGGGCTGCACCCCCTCCAAAAAAAAAAAAAAAAAAAAAGCCAACACCCCAAACCCGGCTCTGTCCCAGCCAGGCGCCCACGCGTGGCGTGGCGTGGGGCGGCCGCGGGGGTAACCCCCAGGCGGAGTGTTTTCGGGGCTTTTTCGCGAGTGGTTGCCTCGCTCCGTAGCTGACCCAAAGCTCCAGGCTAACGCTTCGCCCCTCTCTCCTTTCCTCCCTCCCCAATCCTCCCCCCACCCCAATAATCCCAATCTGCCTCTTTCCTATTCCTCCCCCGCCCTTGCTTTTAAAGTGAAGGCGCGTTGAGGGAAGGCTTCCTGCCACCTCCCTCACTTCCACCCGACCTAGCGGGGAGCCCCTCTTCACCTCCACTACCCTAAAAAAAAAAAAAAAAAAAAAGCCGCAAACGCACCGTGTTTCCAACCTGGAGTTAAGGTCGGTGCTAATCCGGGTCAGCTCCTGCCCCTGTTGGAGAGGCAGGGAGGGAGCGTGTAACATATGGGTTGTAGGGGGAAAAACCAAAGCAAGCCCCCAAAATAAACAAACAAACCAGAACCTCGCGCACAATCACGGTAAAGTCAAATTCCTTCCTACACACCCACAACTTTAGCTCTGTCTGCTGCCTGGGGGGTTTTAATCTTGCAAAGAGAAAGGGGGGCTCCCTGCGCAAAATTACGCCTTCTCCTCTCATTTGTTAGCTGATTCCATCAAAAAGTTCGCTATTTATAGGCTACACACACGAACCTGGAGTAATACAAACCCTCCCGTGTTGTTCCCCTCGCAAAGTGGCCGGTCCTGAAGCATCCGAGCGGTTTGGTGCGTGCGCGAGTGAGAGAGAGACACACAGAGAGCGCTACAATCAAAAAGGGGAAAGAAGATCTCAAGCTGAGAGACTTATTAATTGCTAAGAGCCGCTCTGCCACCAGCCATGTGAGTACCTAACAACGATCACCTTTTGCACAGATGGTCAGCGATCAGGCACAGACACTTTCTGTCCTTTTCTTCCTCCCTCCCCTTTCTTATTTTTTTATTCCTGTCCAGTCTCCCTCCCACCCGCCTTTTCTTTTCTTTTTTTTTTCTTTTTTTTCTTCCTTTTTTTTCTTTTGCTTTTAGTTTGAGTTCGCACGGCTTATTCCTCCCCACGAGGAGGAATGAAGCGTGGGGGCGAGCGCGGGGGAGAAAATGTGCCGGAGCAGAGGAAGGAAGGAAGGAGTGGTGGAGGGAGAGGAGGAGGAGGGTTTGTTAAGCGATCGCCTTGTCCCCTGAGCCCGAGCCGGCTGGGAATTAGTACCAGAAAGATAACGGAGGTTACATCCCTCCCTCTTCCTCCGCTTTTCTTTTCCGGGAGCGCTCAGCCCCCCAGACAATTACCCCGGTAGCAACGCGGCTAACGAGCTGTATTCAGCAGGACCCACTTGGGGGAATTAAAAAGGGGGGAAATATAAAAGAGAAAAAAATAAAATAAAAAAAGGAAAAGCGAGCGAGAAGGACGCGGGGACGGGGGCTCGGCGCCTGGCGTGCGGGCAGTGGAGAGCCCCACGGGCAGGGGCAGGCGGCAGCGAGCAGCGGGCTGGGCTCGCTGTGGACCCGCTCCTGTCCCCACGCGTGGGCTCTCAGCTCCCGTGGGGTCGCCGTGGCCCCGCTCCTTCCTTCCCTTCCCTTTCCCCACGCGTGGCACAGCGGGCGCAGGCGAACCCCGCAGCATCGTGCGCCTTTTAGAAACCGCACAGCGGGCTCGAAAGGGGGCGAGAGGGGGGGAACACAGCCTGTACCGGGCTCGGAGACCCCTCGGAAGCGGGGTAGCGGGGCTCGGGGTGCGGAGCGAGCCGCTGGCAGCGCGGAGAGGCGCGGTGCTGAGCCAGCCCCCAGCTCGGAGCGGGTTAGCGCAGCGTTAAATTCGCGGGGCCAGGGTTACCCGGGGCATCATCACGGCGCGTGCCCGGGCTGTAACCTTTGCTCGTTTATACACAAAAGAAGAGGGAGAGCCGGAGTTGCACCTGGAAATCCAAAGAGCAGGGTGAGTATCGGTATTCGCTCCTCTCCCCGCCGTGCCTGGGAACAAAGTTCAGAGGCAGCCGGCGCGGCGCTGGGTGCGGGTCCCCGGAGCCCCCCCGGGGGCTGCAGCCGGCGCGTTTCGGGCTGGCACCAGCGAAACGCCCCACAAGCGCCGCTCCCTCGGCTGCAACTTGGCTGCTTTACGGAGAAAAAGTGCCTCGGATCCGGGGCTATTTATAGGTGGCAGTAAAGCCTCCCTTTCAATAAGGAGCCGCGGAAAAGAAGCGTCAGGAAACTGGCCGCGTTATTGATTCAAGGTGCCGGGTGGTCACAGCCACGCTAGGCTCACGAAGTCCCGGCTCCTCTTGGTTCAGGCAGCGAGGAGAAGGATAGGAGCCGTGCTCTGCTGACCCCGGGGCTGGCCACAATTCAATTCCCAAGCACAGGTATAGGGCACAAGAGGGTTGGATGGAAGACTTCCCTTTTCTTTCAGGCACACACATAATACAGGGCACCCGCAGGGCTGAAAGTGGGCCAGGGCTACACGGTAGGTATCAGATCACACAAAGCAGAGGAAAGAAATCCAGTTAAAAATACATTAGTTGAAATCAGAGGACAAGCTTGATTTTTTTTTTTCTTTTTAAACAAAGGTGCACGTTAGAACAAGCTAGAAGCACTTTGTGCCTGACGGTATCCCCCACGCCCACTGGAAATAAGGCAAGAAGCTTGCTCTTTCTTTGCATCTTTTAAACCCTGTTTTAATTAGAATTGCTAAAGTAGGACACCCCGGTGGAGGATGTTTTCAAGTATCCACCTACCTTTCTGCTGTAAGCAGAATTGCTGCCTGCTAAATTGCTTGAAACGCAAAATTCTGCCCCACCCCCAACTTGTTTTGGCACCTACTCACCCTTTCCCCCCTGAAATGCCAATCGCCTATGAAAGGTGCTCCATTAAGAGGAAAAGAGAAAGCCCAAACAACCAGCAGCAATGAGCTGAGTGGACTCAGCGAGCCTGACGTTGCTCTGTACACCAGAAAAATGTTTGGACAGAGAGCGTCCCTGAAAACTAATTCCTCTTTTTCTCTCTCGCTCCTTTTTTTTTTTTTTTTTTTTTGAAGTCCAAAATTGGGTGTATCCTAACCCTTCTCCTTTAATTTATTTGATTAAATCATAACAAAGGCAGACTCATCAGCTTCTCGTATTTCCTCACATGTAACCATACGCGAAACCTTTTATATGAAAGCAAGTAATTGGCTTTAGTTAACCGAGGGCAGAGGCTGGGGCGAAGTTTTACGCCCGTTCCCAGAGCCGCGTTTCACGTGAACGCGTGTTACAGCTGCACCCGGTGCTCCTCGGTGGCGACCCTCGGGGTCTCAACTTTGTCTCGTTCCCCACCGCCGCCCCATTTCTCCCACCCCTCTGGCGGCGAGGAAGGCTGCTCGGGTCGGGAGGTGAGGGTCGGGGGCTGGTTCAGGGAGCGCCCCCCTGGTTTTACGCTCGGGACCGCTCCACGCCAATGTCCACGTCCGTGGGTGTTTCGTACCCTGCTCGCTGGTTCTTTTGCGCTCCTAATTAAGAACTAGATAAATTTCACCTGCAGGAAAGTGAAGCCGAGTTAGCTCACTTTTAGCTTAAGTGAAAAAGAAAGAAAGGAAAAACAAAAACAAACAACACTCTTAAAGTTTCTCAGGTGAAGCTCGGATTCCCTTTGGTTATTACTCAAAGGAAGAACCACGTCAATTAGGTCTTTTCTTTGGAAATTCCTGCCCGAGAAAATAATGAAAATTCCCCGTGCCCGTGCGCGGGGCAGCTGCAGGTTGGCCGCTGCTGTTGCCCCGGCAGCCCAGCGAGCTGAGCGCCGCAGCCTCCCCGAGCAGCCTCTGCCTCCGCCCGCGCCTTTTGCTGCGCTCGGGAGCAAAATCCCCGTCGTCCAGGGATAAATAAATCGCTTTCGAAGAGCAATGGGGCACTTGCAGCAAGCGCCGTATGAAAAATAAAAATAAAATACAATAAAATAATAGCACCCCCTGGTCAGAGGACGGGAACCTCGCAGCAACAGGTTACCAGGGGCACCTGCCGCTTCTCCAGGGTGTTCGAGTGCTAAAGCCAGGGAGGGAGTTTTACAGCAGGAATCACGCTCGGGGCCGGGGAGAGAGGGGGGCATCCACCAAACCGTGCTTGGCGACACTTCAGCGAGAGTTTTAGGTCGCTTTGAGGCCAGCAGGAGCTCTGCGGCGGGGCTCTAAGGGCACCTTGCCTCGTCCTCCCCTCTCGCCGCCTTCCTGGGGTCCCTCAGAGCCCCCAGAGCCGCCGCCGGGGCCGTGCTGCTGTCCGGGGGTCGGCGGAGCGGCTACGCCTGCTTTTTAGGGGAAGAGTTTCCGCTCTGGGGTCAGCCCGAGCCCTGCTTTCCCCTCCCGGTTGGACTCTTTGTTCTTTGGCCCTTTGTCCTCTCGCTCCTCGGCTTTGCCCGAAGTTTCCAGAGGGCGGGCGGGAGGTGCGGGATGAAAAGTTGCAGAAATCCCCGGAATTAAATTCGCCGGGGCAGCGACAGCAGGCAGGGCTCCTCTCCGGGGGGCTACGTCCCCGAGCGATGTCGCTTTGTGTCACCCGGCCGCGGGACGGGTTCGCGGGAGCCGGCGGCGATGCCGGTGCCGGGGGAGCCGCGGGGGCTCCATGGGGTGCGGCGCCGCCCCGCGCAGCCGCCGGACCCCTCGGGGCCGCGGGGAACCCCCGGACCTGCGGCCGGCACCGGGGCGTGAGGACCCTTCTGGTGCACAGGGGCAGAGACGGTCAGGGAACAGACCGCGCTGAGACGGGGCGGGAGGTGACGGCGACGGAGGATTTCTGGACGTCGGGCTTTACGGGACGCGTGCTCGTTTGTTTGAGTTGCACAAAGCCAGGAGGCGTTTGGCCTAATCGCCGGCTTTTCGGCGTGCTTCCTGGTTGCTTGACAGGACTGTGGCAAAATGCTGGCACAAGTTGAACAAGTTGGCGCTTACCTTCAGAGCAGACGAAATATCCTCACCAAGCAGCACAGCAGCTTAAAGGACAACCTCAGCGTTGTTAGTGGGAGATCATATAGTATTTCTTGGTGTCTTTAATAAAAGGAAAGCCTCCTCGTTCAATACAGTATGGTGTAGCTTTGTCCTACCTTTACAAACACAATTAAATGCTAGAGAAGTAAAAGCTTATTTTTCCTTTCAGTAAGAAATCACCCATAACTTCGCAAATATGAATTATCCCCCATTATGTGAAAGTAGCAAAACACTTCAGTGAGGTGCGTTTGGTATTAGGAAAGCTGATGAGAAATGAAGTTTTCATATGGTGCACTGGACCAGGTCACAACAGGTTGCTGACAAAGCCAGGCTTGAGTCCTGAACTCTGGCAGACTTCTTTAGCGGCACTGCCACGCTCCCATTTTTGTAACCAGTGACATAAGGGATGAACATAGCACTCTGGAATTCGCTGAAAGACGATTTAATGTAATTCTCTCTCTCTCTCTCTTTTTTTTTTTTTTTTTTTTTTTTTTAATCAAGAGATGCCGCAAATGTTTATATCAGCATAATGTAAATTTGTTATTTTTATAAAAGTAGACATCCTGTATTCTTCTTTTTTTTTTATAGAGAATATATTCACAGTACTTCTGTATTAAATAAAAAAGGCTAAGATTGTTTATCATAGTGAGCCAAATTTCCAAAATTTGCATAGGATTTATTTTTTTTTTGTAATAGCAGACAAAACATGTTGAGAAATGAGGTGAGAAAAGTTTGAGGTAGACTAAATAAATATTTTAGATCTGGATTTTTAAATGTACATATGCTAGTAGAGATCATACCATCCTTCTGACACATGTTAAACCCTGGGATCAGTTCTTTAATGAAATGGCTTTT